CCTCTCTATTACCTGAAAAGTGGGCCTTACATCTCAGGTCTTCCAGCTTTATAGAGGCTTTGGCCAGGGAGAATGAGCAGCCTTTATTTCCCTCAGCACTGAGTGAAAATTCTGGAAAATCATTGCCTGCCCAGATCCCTAGGCCATTGCTCAGTTCCCTTGGTAGATGATCTGGGTGATCATGAGTACAGCCATGCTTAACATCCCTGTTCCTCCCGTTCTCAGCATGAAAGGGGAAAAGGCCACACTGGAGGAAGTTCAGAGCAGGTGGGGCAGGGTGGGGAGGGAGGAGCAATCTCTATAGGGGCGGAGTCACTGAGGGCACAGGGCCTGTCTCCTACAGAGAAGAATCAGAAGTGCATGTGGGACCTGTGAGCACTGGAAAGACTAGGACTAGGACCAGGACCAGAGGGCAGGACAGAATCACGGTGATGGGGGAAGGTGATAAGAAACACAAAGGTCTCCATAAAGCATTGCCATAAGGTCCAATATTAACAGTGGCTTCATGAGTTCAGTGTTTCCCAAAAGTATGAGTTCTGTAGCCCTGGAGATGCTCAAGTGCAGCTGTCAGGAGCATCTGGTGAAGATGCAGTTGGTGGATGGGTATTTAAGATGAGCTTGGTGAGTCTCAACCAGAGACATTGGCCAAGCTTTGAAGACACTTTGGCTGTCACAACTTAAAGGAGCTGTGGGCATCTGGTGGGTAGAGGCCAGAGCTGTTGAGCCACATCCTCCAACACACAGGACAGTCCCTACAAGTCATCCAACCCAACACACACACACACACACACACACACACACACACACACACACACACACACATGACAACAAGGCTGGGAAAGAAACCCTGGCTCAGATTAACCATAAGGTTGAAGCCAGGTAATCGCCCCCTCCAATCTGGAGGAAGACGATCAGTGACATGCTAGGAATATGCAGAACCCCAGGGAGGGGAAGCATTGAGTGCTAAAATGCTCAAGGAGACGAATCTCAGAAGCGTAGTTTCATTTTCAGACACTGTGGGCTAGATTTTGGGACTCTGGCCATCCTAGCTGTAGCCAAAACTACAAGCCTGTTATTCTACAAAAAAGCTAAGTTTCTGTTCCCACCACTTCCGCCTACTATTGCGAATAAATTGGAAGGAGATGTGTGCAAATCTAGTCAGGGTGGGTGGGGGGTGGGGGGGTGGACTTCAGTGCAAAACAAGCAAACAGAAGGGCCAGTAGGGAGATAGATATTCTTTAAAGGCCTCTAACATTATCCCATATCACTTCTAAAGTTATCTTTAAAAATTCCTTTTTATGCCATCTGGGTGGCCAAATTTGTCAAACTCCAGAAAAATCTCAACTGCAAAAAAAAAAAAAAATCCAGATTTTACCACACTGCGAGTTTGAAAATCAGATGGATTTGAGGAAGAATGCTAGCTAGCTCTGTTGATTACCATCTAAGGTCTGGGCACTGAGGCACTCTGTACCTCAGTTTCCTTCTGTATAACTGGGTGACTGAGCTTGACCTTGTAGGACAGCCATGAAGATGTCATGAACTCATGTGTAGAACAACCACACACACAGTTCCCAGTGTGCATCTGACATGCACAAAGTGGTAGTGGTTATTGGTGATCATCTCTCCAGAAGACATAGAAGCACAAGACATGCACAAAGTGGTAGTGGTTATTGGTGATCATCTCTCCAGAAGACATAGAAGCACAAGACATCAAGTTAGGCCCTGAGCAAAGAAATACCACCATCTTGAAAGTCATAGTCTCACACAGAAGTGACCTTGTGCCAATGACAGTTCTCTATGATGATTAATTACAAAAGCCAAGTGTCAGCAAATGGATAAACATGATCTCATTTAACTCTTTGGATGCTCCAAGAAAGGAAGTAGAAGCAGTCCAATACACAGACAAAGACACTGAGATAAAACAGCTGAGGGACTGGCCTGAGATCATACCTTAGCTTCCACCTGGCTAAGAAGGATTGGACTCCAGGTAAATGTGAGACCTGAGCATCTAACCATGCCTCTCTGTCCCAACCAGTTCTCTTCCTAGCTGCTTCCTCTGCTTTGGTCTGATCCTGAGATTCCTGGCCATCTACTGTAGCAAGAAAGGCCCACGAAGTCTTCACTGGTACCAGCACCCCCGTGACCCTGTGACCAGTGTCAGCTTACAGTAGTTCCCTGCTCTCCCAAAACGCAAGCAGAGATGTTCAACCTGTATCTCCTCAGGGCTACCTTTCCATATTTCAAGAATTCCCTCTTGGAATGTAAGTTACCACTGATGGAATGAAAAAAGACAAGGTACAATGCAGTATCTCATTGACTTTGGGCTCAGAGGACATCCACTCTCTGTTGGGGACACTGGTTGTTTCAACCCGATGGACCATGCCTTAGGTTGGGTGAATTCAAATGGAAAATTAAAATAAACAAGACAGGTTTCACAGTAAAAAGTTCACTAGCACTTGAACTTCACAGGAAAAAAAATCATTTTTACAATGCCTTTGGAGATGAAATGTCTGGGCATCATTGAGCTAAAAAGATACTGCACAAATCAGATGACATCTCCACCTATGCCCAACAACACGGTCCTATCTGGAGCCCTGTGTAGTGGTCATGGTTATGTCCATTACTATGTGTTCCAACATCCTGTCCAGAGCTGACCAATCGGAGTGAATGCATCTCTCCATCAGATTGGGTAGGAAGTGTGCTGGCCCCATAAGATCTTGGGCAGCCTGTAACCTGGCAGCTGAGCCAACATAAATGTATGTTTCTCTTGGAAATCTGGAGTTAGGACACTAAGAGACAGAGAAAGTGTCTGACAGAGAGAGAAGCTAGGAGGCTATAGGAAAGGCTGCCCCTTGAGGAAAGGTGCTGGGGGGGGTACAGTGGGCTGCAGAGCAGGTTGTCCTATGTGATGGGAATGCATGGTGCACACAGATGTCAGGCCTCAGAGAGGAGGACAGAGAGACAGACACACAGTGAACGAAAAACTTCACGGCGCAGGGCCATGGGAGAAGTGGGAGACAATCCTAGCTCCCCGGAGGCCCCGCAGTACCACTCAGTTTGGGCTTTGAGCTTCCGCATGTTCCTTTTGTGGCCTTGCAACGAATCCCACAAGCTTGAGCTAGCTTACATGGGTTTCTCTCCCAACCTACGAACAGGTCCTATTGACAAAGCATCCAAGTGTTCGGGGGAGAAACTCCCTTTAAATCACACCACAGAGCCTTGTTTTCTACAAGACAAAAAAGTCATAAAGTGAACACGGATATGAAATCTTCATCAAGCTAAAAAGATATCCTTCATGCACTGAAGAGGGGAGATTCCCGTGGGAGGAGAAACAACTAGTGATTTCCTAGAAATGCAAGACATTTACAACAATGAGGCAGCATCCATTTTTTTTCTTTTTAAAATTAACTAATTTATTTATTTATTTTTGCCAGTCCTGGGGCTTGAACTCAAGGCCTGGCCACTGTCCTGAGCTTCACTAGTGTGTTATCCTCATTGGCAAGGACGTTGTACTTTCTATGCAATGGTTCCTACACTCGGTTGTCCTTACTGTGGCTTTCACTCTTTTCGGACTCTAAACTCATCTTGATGATGCTAAAGAGAAGGGCTGTTTGCTACAAATTAATCTGGAAAGAAATTTGTGTAATGGTCCTCCGATGATTCAGGGTCATAAAAGGCATTCGACCTGAGCATCTGTGAGTTGGGTTGCTCATTTGTCAAATGTCTGCTGGGCATCACTGTGCTCCATGGGCATGCAAGGAGTCCCTGGTGTTTGGGCAGTTCCCCTTGTGAGGCCTTGGAGCCCATGGGCTGCCTGTCCCTGCCACACCTGCTCACAGAGAGAGCCCAGGCAAGCTAGGCAGAGGCTGGGAACCCACAGAAGAGGAAATCCTGCCCGACTGAAGGAGCTTCCCTTTTGATTTGCACTTGGCTTACTTCTCCAAGACAGTATTATGGTATTTCTGTGGCTACTAGAAGTGATCTTAAAATCAGAGCCCAGCGTGTGTACAAAAAAATACCATTCAAGCCAATGCTGTGTATGGTGTGTGATCACCTAGGGAAACCACACATGTACCGAGTCACCAGACACTCAGGCAATGCTCAACTTGGCCTTTGGACAAGGAGGACCCTCTCTAGCCCTCTCAAGCACACCCACCAGACCAGCTCTGGCAGCCAGCACGCAGGCAATAGCATCCTACCAGCTTCTATTTATTGTTGCATCGCTATGGTCACATCTTTTTAGCATCCATGACATTTAGAAGGTGGTGTGTGTGTGTGTGTGTGTGTGTGTGTGTGTGTGTGTGTGTGTAATGGGGCCGGGTTAGTGACTGGGTCTTTAGATCTGGCAATAGAAAGAGCACAGAGAAGTTGAGCAACTTCAGAGACATGCACGCGCCAGTCTGGGGGTCGTGTGAACTCCACAGCAGCAGCAGGAAACATCTTCCTCTTGGATGTGGGGTGGCGGGGGAGGGGGCGGGCGTGGGTTTCATCCAGCTGGCATTAGCTCTGTCCACAAAGCGTGTCTTCCGCGCCATCCTCGATCGCGCGTGGTCCAAGTGGGCAGGGGCTTCTTGGAACCCCAGGATGGGCTGAGGATGGCGATGATGGCGCAGCGCTGGAGGGCAGGGAAGGGAGGAGTTCCCTAAAGAGTGTTGGGGCCATGGCGTCGTCGAGGATGGAGGGGACAAGAGGATAAAGTAGGGGGAGGGTGGGCGGGGAGGGAGGGGGGGCATAGACACTCAGCCTTTCATCCCTTGCAGGGAGATGGATGATTTCCAGGCGTCCGTCGGGAGCCCCGGCTCGCTATAGGGAGACGTCAGAGCGCTCGGGTCTGCCGTTCCAGAGGCCCCCCTACCCCGCCCCCCGACACCCCGCCTGGGCTCCCCTATAAAGTCAGGGCCCGGGGGGAGGGAAGGCTGCAGCAGTGCGCGGGCGGCGGTGGCGGCGGCGGAGCTGCTCCGAGGTCCGCGGTTCCGTCCTCCGCCAGCCCCGCCGAGATCATGCGCCGCCCCGAGCTCGCGCTGGTCCTGCTGGCGCTGGTCCTGTGCCAGGCGCCCCGGGGGCCGGGCGCCCCGGTGCCGGGGGGCGGAGGGACGGTGCTGGCCAAGATGTATCCGCGCGGCAACCACTGGGCCGTGGGTGAGTGTCCGGAGTGGGGTGCGCGCGGGCGCGCGCCCTGGGCGGGATGGGCCAGCCGCGGGGGGCCGCGCTCCCCAGCTCTCAGCGCTTCCATCGCCCCGTTTTTATTTTGGGGAGTGGGTGGGTGGGGGCTTCTTCAGAAACACTTCTCAGAACTCCCCAAACTCCACCCCACCCTTCCCCACCCTCAGCAGCCCCCGGACTGGACCCTGATCGCCCCCAGGGCACCCGAGCCGGTGCCCAGCGCTCCGAGAGACCCGACCTGGGCGCAGCCCACCTGTTCCCCCCACCTACCCCCCGCCCTGCTTTGTCCTCCGAAGCTCCGTCTAGACGTGGGGAGGAGTACGGGTCTCCCCTGGAAGAACTTTAGGGAGCCAAGCGGCCCGGTGCGTCTGGGATCTGGGATCTGCCACAGGTGCGGACGGGCGCAGCCTTCCACCCCGCGATTCCAGCCCCGGCCCCGACGCTCGCCCCGTCCCCAGCTCCCCGAGCGTTCGCAGTTGCCTTTGCAGCGCTGTTCCTCCTCCTCTTATGCCCACTCCTCCCTCCCTCCCTCCAGGGTGCGTGAGCTTCAGGCCAGCTTCTGTTCCTTGAGCCCCATCTTTCTCTGTCTCCTCCGATCCAGCCACCGTCTCCCTCCCCTCGCCGATCCTGTGCCATTGCCGTAACCAACAAGTCCTGCTTTTCAGGAGTGCGCTTGGAAGCTCTCTGGGAACCCCCCCCCCCAACCCCCAAGACAGACTGGCTGGAAGGATGTCAGGACACGTGGGTAGATCAGAGATCTGCCAGAGCTTCCCCACGACTAGGCGCCCGTGGCCTCCCCAGCAATCGGAGTCCAAAGGGCTGTGTGTGTGTGTGTGTGTGTGTGTGTGTGTGTGTGTGCCTACTTGGTTGAGGGGGCCCTGTGTTGGAAAAGTAATTCAAATATCGGCCCCATCCCGTCTTAGCCACGGTGATGGGGGATGGGATGGGGGGGCGTTGTGAGGCTGGAACTGTTTTCAAGGCTGTGTGTGCTTTGTCCCTGGGGCAGTCCTGGGGGATTTGTGATCTCAGGGCCCCTAGGACCCACGTCTTCCAGTGTGGAGAGGAGAGCAGCCCAGAGGTAGGCATACACACAGCTGAGAGGTGCTGTGGTACCAGCATGAAGAATACCTGAGGTGTTAAAGGAGGCAAAACTTAAGACGGTTGATTCTTCAAAGGGCTCCTGAGAGCCTACATCAATGGCTATTGTCTGATCCAGAGCACCAGCTGGTGGGCAGGAAAGGAGGAATAAGACTCTGGGATTTTTCTTGTGTCTCTTTTGCTGCTGGGAGGTAATCCCTGGGAGAAAGAGAGGTCAATGGACTTGGCTGAGAACACTGGCATCCTATTAGATTTAGTGGAAGCCAGGCCGGTTCGACTAGTGGATGGGACGCATGTCTCCCCACAGGTAATTTGAGTGTCTTTGTCTTTGTCAGTAGTAAGTGGCTGTTCCTAACACAAAAGTACACTGAGCCATGGCAACTCCACATGGAAATTGATTGTTTTGTGTTGAGACAGGGGCCTTAGCTTTATTTGCTCAAGGCTTGCATTCTGTGGCCTGAACCACGCCTCTACTTCTGGCTTTTTTTTTTGAGGGGGTGATTGATTGGACTTGAATTGGAGTCTCTCTGGTTTATTTACTCAAGCTGGCTTCAAATCAGGATCTTCACATCTCAGGCTCCTCAGTAGCTACGATTACAGATGTGAGTCTTTGGAACCCAACTTCCCCCGTGCCCTTTTACAAACCCCCGTGCCCTTTTACAAACGAATCTCAAGAGCACTGCTTTACCTTTTCCCTCTGCTAATAGTACAGATTTGGAGAAGAGCAGGAGAAAGAGGGAGGTGAGGCAGACAACCACATTTTAGCCTAAAAGTGCATTGTGCTGGAGGGGAAAAAATAGTTTGCTTTGGTAGCATACTCGATCAGCATACACAGGTTAGTAAAAAGGAATGATACTAGATTTTAAATTTTGCTTTCAATGACCTCAAAAAAATACGTAGCTTGTTCAGTCACCAAAGAAGTGCAGTTTTGTTGCTGCTGCTGTTAGTGTGGTGGTGGTGATGCTAGTCAGGATTGTATGCAGGGTCGTGTGTGCTAGGCAAGCACTCCACCAATTGACCTACACCCCTGGCTCTTAACATTTTCAGATAGATTCTCACTACACAGCCCACATTGACCTCCAACTTGTGACCTTCCTACCTCAGCCTCCTGAATGCCAGGACTACAGTGATGCACTACCCCATGTGGCTTCATTATAATTAAGATAAAATGGAAGCTGCACATTTCAATCCACAGAGAAGTTGTTCGCATGCATTGATAGGCTCACTAAGGGAGTTGCCTCTTCCAGCTCAGAGAAGCCCAGTGCTGTCATGGAAAAGGAGTTAACAGCTTGAAAACATGCTAAATTTTCTAGGTGGCTTGATGTTCGTGGAGATGTTTTGTTTGTGCAATGAAAATACATGTCAGTGCCAACACGGGTGACTGTGGGCTATGCTTTCAGGAAATGCTGGTGGGTGTGGCTCTAGCCATGGTAGGAAGCAAATCCCAGTAGGTTGAGCTGGGAATCACAGAACGGCTTCACTCTGTAGGGCCACCTCTGGAAATGTGAAATTTAAAGTACAGCTCCAGCAAAACTGGCTGTCAGAAGCGCCCAACACTTTAGTTTGGGTTTGTTTTCAATCTTTTACTTCAAAGAAAATTCATATGTGATTCAAAGCTGTCCTTCCTGATCTCTTTAAAATGACTCACCAGGACTGATGTTTTCCAACTTTGAGCTAGGGTTGTTTTTTTTTTTAAAGTGCCAGTCTTTTGTCTTTTCTGAGGTCTCCATTCTTGGGGTATGGACGTGTGACAGATGATGGGGAAGGAGTAGAAGTGGGCAAGTCCTCATGTTGCCATGGAGACAATGCTTTGGTTGATAGTTGATAGTGAACTAGGACGTGGGGAATGTGTGTCTCTGTGGGGACTACTCCAGATGTTATGCTTTCCTCAGTAATCAGCTTATGGATTTGGAGTAGGGAGCTGAATATTATGTACCCCACAAACAAGCATTGAAACAAGTCTAATGTTACCAGGACTCTACATGAAGTCCATCCTATGTTGGAGCATATTTGTATTCTCCCATTATAGGAAAATCCACAGATTTCTCCAGGCAGGACAAAATGAAGTTGTTGTCTGTAAAAAAAAAAAAAAGAAAGAAAGAAAAGGAGCCAACCTCCCACAAAAAGTAGAAGTTCATTTGCCCTCTGCTTCTTTGGCCTTAAATCCACTCTCATTTCTCGCATCCTAACTAGATGCCAGGCCATTAGGGAGGGCAGAAGTGACTGAAGTCATTACTTGGGAGCATCAGAGTTCCAGTACTGCCTTTCGATCAGCATGATTTAATTTCCTCCGTGTAACTAAAGCCAGCACATCAGGGCTTCCTGGGGATTTGTGCAGCATCGTCACTGTTTGAGCTGCTGCGAGGGTCATAGAAAGCTAGATACTAGGTTAACTCCACAGGTAAGTGATGATCCAAGCATTCTAGCTTTCAGACCTGGATCCTGGGAGTTTCCTTGATAGGATGTTAGAAGAAGACCTATCATAAATGACTTGGCAAATGCTCACACTTGAAACTTTTCTAATGGTCACAGAACTCATCTCTCTGAGTCACGGATTGAGTCATGATTAATGTAGGGTCCCTATTGCTTTTGATCATATTAGAAAGTCTTTTTGTGCAGACCTTATCCTATTTGCGGCCCCCAGAATGATGCTCGGTGCCTTATATTTTTAGGGAGCTAAAAAACACTTCAAAGTAATTTAATATAATAAGTCTCTGGACTCTGAGCTGATTTGAATCCTAGAACTTGAATTTTATGCCCGTGTGATGGCTGGCAAATTTCATTTGCACAAACTTATTATGGGGTGGATCAAATGAAATCATGCATATTTAAACTGTCTATCACAGTGACCACAACAGCAATAAGTTGCCAAGGTGGGCAACTCTGCTGGAGGGCAGAGCTCCTGGGAAGGGGGTCTCTCAACATTAAGTGACAGGAGCTCTTTCTCATCTTGTTTACCTTCAATCTATCTAATGCTAATCCACATAGATATCATTGCAAAGACCTTCTTCACCTGTATGCTTTAAATAAAAAGCATTGCCAGGCGCTGGTGGCTCACGCCTGTAATCCTAGCTACTCAGGAGGCTGAGATCTGAGGATCGCGGTTCAAAGCCAGCCCGGGCAGGAGAGACCGTGAGACTCCTATTTCCAATAAACAACTAGAAAACCGGAAGTGGCGCTGTAGCTCAAGTGGTAGAGTGCTTGCCTTGAGCTGAAGAGCTGAGGGACAGCGCCCAGGCCCAGAGTTCAAGCCCCACGACTGACCAAAAAAAAAAAAAAAGCATCAAAGTTTTATCGATATTAGAAATTCCAAAGAGCTTATGTAAGGCCCAGTTTTAGAGAGATGGGAAAGACAAACTTTAAAAAGTGAGGAAACCTAAGTCTATTTATGCAATAGACCAGGGTGTTAAGAGTGTAGACTTCAGGGCCAGGAATGATGGGTCACAGTCTGCAATCCCAGCTATTTCGGAAGCAGACAGGAAGATCTTTGAGGATTTGAGAATTTGAAGATTTCCCTGCAAACAAGTAGGCATGTTGATGCATGTCTATGATCCCAGACACTCTAGATGCACAAGTAGGAGTATCTTGGTCCTAAGATTCCATATGAAAAATAAACTAGGTGCAAAAAAGCCTAGTGGGTGGGGTACATGGATCAAGTGGTAGAGTGCTTGCCAAGGAAGCAATAGGCCCTGAGTTCAGTACTGGAAACAAACAAACAAAAACAAAACAAACAAGTTAAAAGACCAAAGATCTGGTTGTATAGCATTTCTAACTCTATTATTCTCACTTGCATACATATCTCCTTTGGCCTCATGAATTGCAGGTTTTATTTATTTATGCAGCAGATTCTCAGAGAGACTTTCTCTGACCATTTCAGACATCCAAGAGAGAAAGTCTACATTTATCTGGCCGACAAGTTTTCAACATTTTTTTTTCATTCCTCTCTTAATAAACCATAACTTGTAGGTGTAGTTTCCTAGATTTGATCTCAGCTAAGATTCTGAAAGAGTTTAAATGAAAAATTCCTTGGGTACAATTGTATGACAAATAAGACAGATTGACTTTTTTTTTTTTTACTTTCACAAAGAAATAACTCGATTTTTATTTTCAGTGGCAATTCAAAATTGGCTGAGAAAGAAGTTTGAATTCCACCTTCCAGTGGGAAATAGAGTTTGGTACCTGCACAATTGAGGATAGAATTTTAGATTTGGAAGGTTTCTTTAGGGGTCATTTGGTCTACCATCTTCATTTATAATTGGGAGAATCAAAATCTGAAGATGCTATACAAATTGGCGGAGGTCACTCGGCTAGTTAGTAAAGCTCAGAAGTCAAACCCAGGGATCCAGGGTCACAGTTCTGAATTCTTTCCAGCTCATTGCACAAAAAGCAAAATCCATGTGCCATGTATAAATCACTCTTAATGACTGCTATTTTTTTTGTCAGTCTTGGGCTTGAACTCAAGCCTGGCACTGCCCTTGAGCTATTCTGCTGAAACGTGGCATTTTACCACTTTGAGCCACAGTTTCCACTTCCAGTTTTCTGGTGCTTAATTGGAGATAAGAGTCTCGTGAGCTGTCTGGGCTGACTTCAAACTGCAGCTCTCAGCTCTCAACCTCCTGAGTAGCTAGGATTACAGGTTTGAGTTGCCAGCACCTGGTGAAACTGCTATTTCATTTATTTATTTATTTATTTTGCAACAGTACTGAACCCAGGTCTGAGCACTGCCTCTTAGCTTTTTGGCTCAAGGATGGCACTCTAGCCCTTGAGATATAGCTCCAGTTCCAGCTGATTGGTGGTTAATTGGGATAAGAATCTCACAGACTTTTCTGCTATGGCTGACTTTGAAGCTCAAATCCTCAAATCTCAGCCTCCTGAGTAGCTAGGATTACAGGCATGAGACACCAGCACATGGCTAAAAGGCTATTTATTCTGAATTGAGGAAGAAGCCACATGTGTCTCATTTATTCAGCCTCCTGCATTTAATGTGTGTATTCGGGTTTGCTCTTGTTTTTACAGGGCACTTGATGGGGAAAAAGAGCACAGGGGAGTCCCCAGATGCTTTGGAGGGAGATGACCTGAACCAGCAACTGCAGGAATATATTCAGTGGAAAGAAGCCATGAGGAATTTGCTGGGCCTTCTGGAAGCAAAGAGGAACAGAAGCCATCAGCCACCTCGGCTCCAGGCTCTGGGCAATCATCAGACTACATGGGATACAGATGACCGCAGCCATTTTAAAGATGTAGGTTCGAGGCAAAGATAAAACAAGCATAGCTGCCAAATGGGGAGGTGGAAGGAGGGGAAATTGATCAGGGAGCCTAAACTTGCCTATGATGTGAATATAGCCACTCTGTTAGGCCAACACCAGTATATGGTTGGCTAACTTGTAGACAATTGTCATGCTGTCTTTTTTTTTTTTAAATAACATACTAGATTACATTTAGTATACCAAAAGTGTGCTGCTGACAAATTCTGATTTAGCAATGATCAGTAGTTGTATTAATTTAAAGCATCCATGATCCTGCCAGGCAGGGTGGTGTTGCTTGGTTTGAGACAAGGTCTCCCCATATAGCCCAGGGTAGCCTTGAACTCCATGTCCTCTAGTCTCAGCCTCCTAAGGGTTCAGATTACTAATGTGTATCACCATACACCTCTTTCCACCAGAGTATATGGATAATGATGATATGGACTCTATTTACATAAACCCCTCTGGGTCTACAGATATGTTTATCTTAGATAAGCCTCTTTTTACAAGAGAGCTTTTGTGTATTTATTTGCTTGTTTAGATACAAAGTAGTATTTTTTTCTGTTTGTTCTAAGATCACCTAGTTCACCTTCATTGTAGTGTTTCAAAATGTGGGGAGCATATCTGAACTCATCTTATTTGTCCTGAATGTGATTTATTGATGACAGGGAAAGAATAGTCCCAAACTGGCCATGTGTAAGTATAAACACTGAATAAAAGAAGGACAGAATAAATTTTATAAGAAGGAAATAAGGCAAATGAAAAAAATGAGGTGTTTTTCACGTTTAAGAAGTTTTGAAGAGGCTGGGTTTGGATCATGCCTCTATTCTCAGCGACTTGAGAGATGGAGATCAGGAAACTTGAGGTTCAAGGTCAGCCATGGCAAAAAGTTACTGAGCTCCCCGTCTCAATGAACAATCTGGCACAGTGGTTCATGCCTGTAATCCTAGCTATGTTGGAGGCATAAACAGAATCTCCATCTAAAAGGGGCAAGAATGTGAGACTCCACTGGAAAAATAAGGCAAGAAGAGCTAAGTGGTGTGGCTCAAGGGGTAGAGTAAGCACAGGGCCCTAAGTTCAAACCCCACTAACAACAAAAAGGAAACAAAAAAGAAAAAAGAACTTTCTGCAAAGTGGACAATATGAATCAATAATTGCAGATCCAAGGCATTCTCTGTCTCTGCTTCCTGGCCACCATGAGATGAACAGATCTTCTCTGCCACCCACCACAAGGCACTAAAATCTCTGAAACCGTGATCTAAAATACATCTTTCCTTCCTAAAACATAGCAACTTCAATAGTAATCATGGCTAGTTTTACTGAGTGTTTACTAGAATCCAAGTGCTGGGCTAAGCAGTTTATGTACCTTTTTTTTTTTTGGAGGGAAGAGACCCTTATGCTCAAAACAGTGTTAGGAGGAGTCTGTTATTCTTTCCTTTTTTTTTTTTTAAACTTTTTCTTTCCTTTTGAGTACTGGGGATGGAACCCAGGGGCTCACCCACGCTCCGTGCGTGTTCTGACACTGAGCTGCAGCCCCAGCCCCTCTGTGTCAGGGGTGAGAAAATGGAGGCGAGGCCATGTGGCTTTCACTGGTGGCCCTCGAGTGGCCTCTGATACGACATGCCTTGCAGCACCTCCCCCAGGGAATGGCCCTTCTGGGTCTCAGACACACAGGATGCAGTGGCAGCTTCTCTTTCTGAGGATACATAACATTGCTGTGTGCTTGCAGAGCTTGGAGAGCACACTGCTGCTTCCCTCACTCACAGTGCTTAGCTCTGTGATGGATGGCCCCCAGGCAGAGGCTTTGCCCCAAGCCTCAGTCAGCTTCTCTGGGGTGAGGCTTCACCCTTTGCTATTCTCCATCCAGTGGAGATTTTTCAGCTGCTCAGTGCAAACTCAAAGCTCATTTGTTGTGCTAAGCACCTGTAAGCGTAGTCTTTCGTGACTCTGATTCAGGAAGAAAAACCTAAATGAAGCCAATTGATAGAGAAATGAGAATCAACTTCATCCACAGCCCTGAGGAAGTCTCTGGTCACATCTGAGTCACAAGCTTTAAGCGATACTCCGCCTTCTTCTTGGCTCACGCTCACTCTGACAACTCTGTAAACTTGGGTTGACCTCTCAGCCCCCACCTGACTGGTCTTTTTCTTGGTCAAGTAATTATCTGGAAGCCCTATGACATTGTCCTGCTCATTCATTTGAAGGATTTTTTTTAAAATGTCCCAGATACATTGAAAATGGATTTGTCCATAAAGCTCATTAATAAAACCTCACCATCCAATGCATGCACAATGAATGTTATTAATCTCTCATACCTTTTTTTTTTAAAATACTTGGGTTTGAGTTAAGGATCTGACACTTGCTACTCTACTACTTGAGCCACACTCCAAGTTTTTTGCTCTCATTGTTTCTTGAATAATTTTTTTTTGGTCTGAACCACAATCCTCCTACTTACACTTCTCTCATAGCTCGGTCGGCAGGTGTTCACCACAGTGCCCAGATTTTTATTGGTTGAGATGAAGTTCTGTGAACTTTCTCTCAGGCTAGCTTGAAACAGAAATCTTCCTAATCTTTGCCTCCTGAGGTAAAGATTACAGGCACGAGCCACCCCACTCAGCTAATGCCTCATTTTAAAAACCAAGCAGCTGGAGTTTTGAGTTGCTCTACTGCCATTCTGCATTTATTTGGAAACTTTTGAAAAATTGAAGTCCTTTCTCAAAGATCAAAAATTTTTCACATACAGGAGAATATTCTAAGTTTCACGGATAATTATTAGCAAACAGTTTCAGGAAAGTCTCTCAGTGACAATGCTATAGGATAGACTGAGTGGGCAGACACTGAGAGGAACAGCTTAAAAACAGACAATATTTCTCCTTTTATCAGGCCTGGCTTTCTGCTCTTTATATGCAATTTTTCCCTCTTTCTTGATTTCTTGACTTCTTTCTTTCTTTCCTTCCTTCCTTCCTTCTTAGCAATACTGGGGATTGAATTCAGGAACTCACATTTGCAAGCCAGGCACTCTGCCATTTGAGCCATGCCTCTAGCCCCTTTTTGCCTTGGTTATTTTCAAATAAGGTCTCCATTTATGTTCAGGTCACTTTGGTAGCTACTTATGCTTCCTGCATCATTAGAGATGACATGTGAGCATCACTGTGCCCAGCCATTGTGCTTCTCCTGTAGTTGGGTTAACAGGCACCAACCACTATGCTTAGCCATTGGTTAAGATAGAGTCTTATGAGCTTTGCCTGGGCTGGCCTCAAACCACAATCCCTGATCTCTGCCTCCCAAGTAGCTGGGATTACAGACTTGAGCCACCATGCCTGGCTTGTGCTCTTTTTCTTTTTACAAGCTGAGAAAGTTTATCCCATTTCATTCCCCTTCAAGTTGAATAATTAGCTGTTGTACACACTGGTACTATTTATTCTCTTGGATATATTTCCCAATAACATGGAAGACAAATTGGATAGTTAGTCTTTACAGAGACCAGAACAGTGTATTACTCCTATGGCTTCAGAGATTCCTACTCAATGAAAGTATGCAATTATGAACATTAGGAAACATCTTATAATTACCTTATTCAAAAAGAAGGAGTGTCATGAGAATAGTTCTATTAGAAATCCATATATCTCCCAGTGTTGGAGAGAAGTATAACCACTTAGCTAAGCATTGCCAGAATTAGCTGCAGAAGCTTTCAGAGACTGAAGGACTTTGCTTAAAATTAAAAACTATCCACACATGTCCTCCCCTCCCATTGAAGTACTAACACATCATGTCTCCTTGCCAACTCTCCCGGAGCTGTAGTTAGAAACTCTGCGCATTTCTTATGTTTTGATGGCAGTGATATTTACTTAATTCACAAAGACGTGGCAAAATACCCTGACTCTAGACTCCTTGATCATAGCAACCAAGCTCTGGAACTAGGACTAGTACAGAAAAATGGTTAATCATGTTTAACCTTAACCTTAATATTTCCTTTATCTATGTCTTTTACAGAAATCTATTCATTCTATCCTGGAATGGATTTTCCCTATTACACAAGACAGCATTGAGGCTGGCTGTAAGGTTTAATCCCCAATCAGATGGGCCATCTTCTGTCATTTGAGGAAGATTTCAGTTGACCTCTGGTGTCTCTTTGTAATTTGGGCCCAGTCTGTTCCTTACAGCCTTAGATTGTTTTCCTTTTATTTTAGAGACAGAAAGAAATGGGTGGGGGGAGATGAACTCCAGAGGCTTATGGAAGGGCAGTGGGTGTGTTTCTCTTTTACTACTACTACTACTACTATTATATTAGTATTATTATTATCTTTAAGTAGTTATGTGAGAGAGTTTTAATTGCTTAGTGTCCATCTTAGACCGTTTTCTTTTTCTTCAGCTCCGGGTGAGCGCTCTATTGCTTGAGCCACAGTGCCACTTCTGGTTTTCTGGTTTTTTATTGGAGATAAGAGTCTCATGGATTTTCCTGCCTGGGCTGGCTTTGAACTGAGATCCTCAGATCTCAGTATCCTGAGTAGCTAGAATTACTTTTCTATGCCATGAGTAGCTGGGATTATAGATTTGTACCACTGTGCCTGGCTCTTGTTCTCACTATTAATGACTCTTCTTCTTCTTCTTCTTCTTCCTCCTCCTCCTCCTCCTCGTCCTCTTCCTCCTCCTCCTCCTCTTTTTCCTCCTTCTTCTCCTCCTCCTTATCTTCCTTCCCTCTCTCTTCCTCCTCCTCTTCTTCTTGCTCCTCCCGATCCTCTTTCTTCTTCTGGTTATACTGAGGTTTTGAACTCAGAGCCTCAGGCTTTCCAGGGAAGTGCTCAAACCCTTGAGCCGCACCCTCTTCCCGTATCCTTACTTCAGGGACTCCTCTCGTTGCCCCATCAATGCCCCATCAAGTCAGTCGGGGGCATGGGAAGGTTTTGTTTCTCAGTACTTTATGAAACACTCTCACATAACTTCCATAAACAGAGAAGCAAAGCAGAGTCATGAGTAACGATTACCCGGCTTGCCCTTCCCGGGTCCCTGTGGAGGAAGATGAGCTCATCCCATCTTAAATGTGGCTTCCCCCACCCTCCAGTCGCTTCTGTCTCTAGGATCTTTGCCTTCTCACATTTACACAGCTCTCTCATTTTCCTTTTGAGTAGCTTCCTGCCCCTTGAGCCAAACCCCTCCATATTTTGAGTCAATGGATGATTTCTGTGGCTGTCCCCCACATCTGATAGCTGATTTCTTTCTTTCTTTTTGTCTCATGGTTTCTTTGGTAGAGCCAGAGGAGAGCAAAGCTAATGGGCAAGGGTGGAAATAACCCCAGGCCTTGGGCTCATTAGCACCTGCTCACAAGAGTTCAGCAGCAGCACAGGTAACCACATGCCTGGAATAGCAGCGGCTCCCTTATTAGAACCAAAATGGCCAGTCTGGAAGTTAGGGAATTTAAATTGCCAGAGAATCTTGGGAAGAGTAATAAACTCTGGGCTAGGGGAAGAATAATAAAGTCTACTTTCCCATCTGGCTATAGAAAGACGGGTATATGGGAACAAAGAAGTACTTTTTTAAATTTTAGTTTAATTTTATTGTAAAGGTGATGTTCAGAGGAGTTACAGTTATATACATAAAGTAATAAGTACATTTCTGTTGAACATTGTTACCCTCTCCCTCATTTTTCTCCCACTTTCCCTCCCTACTCTTCCTTCAGTCTCAGTAAAACCCAGAGAAGTCACAACAAGCAAATCATAATCCATCTTTGAATTTTGGCAGAGACTTAACTCTTCTTCCTGAGTTGCCCACACTATTGGCATTTCTAAGCTAGGTTTGTAATGGGTAATTCAGGAACCAGCTTTAACTGGTAAATGAGAGATCACCTAAATAATCCCAGAAAGAATTAAATCCTACATTCCCCTTGTATACCCAGCACATCCACTGCGGTGCTAGTGATAAATTCTGGGGATAATAGTTTGGCTCACATATACTCAGATCATCAGACAAGTTTAACAGATACAACAGAAAGATCCAAAAACTGCAGTATCTCAAATGAGGTGTGTGTGTGTGTGTGTGTGTGTGTGTATGTGTGTGGGTGTATTTCTCCTTTGGGTATTGTCACACACACATACTAAGAATTACCTGGAAGAATTACCTTGCTCTCCAGAGGAGACCTGGGTGAATACAAACATTCATCTTTCTAATAAGCTCCGCAATGAGGCTGATTGTTTGTTGGTAATAGATTGATGCTTCAGCATTGCTCATATGTTTGCTTAACTCTTTCTAATATACATATTTTTAAGTTGGCAGACACTCTGCTCCAGGTTCTCAAGGAGAAGGAAAGACCCTCCAGCTGAGTGGACAATGAAAGGGACAGCAAATGGTTAAGAAACTGCATTCTGCGAGCATCAGTTCTACCGGGTCATCCACACAATGTCCTTTGTGCGAAACACTTAACTGTTCTTGTATATTTTGCCCTTGACTAAACTCATCATTTCCAAGTGACAGTTTCTGGTTTGAACTTCGTTTGCAGTGAACCACCATCCCAAAGAGTCTTCTAAGGAATGCTTTTGACATCTTAGGCTATTTGTTGGTTAGATTCAAGCCTTTGATGTGTTATCATTCACAATAAAAGCTTAATCACATTGTCCAAAAGACAGATTGTTGTCTTAAGTCTACCTGGATGAACAAAGAGCTTGAAAATGTAGGTGTGCGCTCATTCATTAAGTCACCCCAATTTGGCAGAGCTCCTCTCTGGCGGCCACTTGCTGAGGCCTTCTAGTGACTAATGGCCTTTCCTGGACCTCAAGCTTTCCTTTTAATGCCTGTTGATGGGCTAGGGTGGAGGTAGATGGAAGCTGTCGTGGTCACTTAGTCATGTGCTTATCTTCAACCCTTACCATGATCAAGTACACTGCTAACACTGTGATGAGCTAACACTGATCTGACAATGAGAATTTCCTGCTCATTGACTAGATGGAAGAGGCCAGTGTGTACCCAAGGACACACAGGAGATGAGGTCTGGCATCAGATTTCCTGTATCACCTCTCCCATTCAGCTGATAGAGCCCTCGGAGGTTTCTGGGGGTTTTGTTGTTTATTCCTTTCAAAATGTCTTTGCCAGTCTTGAAGGGAAAGTTGCCTCTCATGCCAGATATAGCCAGCTCCAGCACTAACAAAACAAGATGAATTCAAGAAATTTCCTTCCATTTTTAAAAGAATGTGGCCTGGCGGTTTGCTAACACATACCGGCTCCATTTTTATCATGACATTTGTACATGAACAGATTCTGAAGCTATCTCGCCATATGGTTAGACTGTCTCCATTTAGGAAAGTCACATACACAACCTTACAGAGATTTATCTCGCCCTTGTTTTGGTTGTCAAGGTACCACGCAAGAGGTGATGTGTTCTTTCTTTTTCTTTTTCTTTTTTTTTGTCAGTCCTGGGACTTGAACTCTGGGCCTGGGCTCTGTCCTTGAGCTCTTCAGCTCAAGGCGAATGCTCTACCACTTGAGCCACGGTGCCACTTCTGGATTTCTGGTGGTTTATTGGAGATAAGAATCTCATGGACTTTCTAGCCTGGGCTGGCTTTGAACTATGCTCCTGAGATCTCAGCCTTCTGAGTAGGTAGGATTACAGACATGATGTGTTCTTTGTAAGTTCTTTGTAAGCCATGTCGGTTTATGACTTACATCAAGTGAGAGCAGAGGAATATGCAAACTATGTTTTCAGTGTCCTTCAAGATCCCTGCCTTCTATCTTGGGGCCATTCTCTCAAAAACCCCAGCCTGAGCTCCACAGCAAAAGCTGATGAGGGAAAGTAAACTTCCTGTGAAGGATCTGCCCTGCAATAGGAGGATAAAAATAACCTTCCGGTCCCATGCAAGTGTTCTCTAATGGTGACACACAGCAAGGCGTTCCTAGACATGAGACACAACAGCTAGGGTAATGTACATGATCATGTGTGTTGGTGCAAATCACATCTCCATGCGTCCTGGCTGGAAGAGATCAGAGAGAGTCTTCCTTATCAGGAATGCATCCCTGAACTTGTTTGCAAATGGCATGACATCACATGCCTGTGTATGTCCATTGGCTCTGGTGATATTTCTCTGCACGAAACAACATGCACCTTGGAGAGCTGAAATAGAAAGGGAGGGATTTATGACTGGATATTAGGCAGGAAATACCAGAGAAACAGGCCCATGTCAAATCTTACAGGTTCAATACCGTAGCATACTTCCTCCCTCCTTCCTTCCTTTCTTCTCAGATATAGACAGTTTTGTGGTACTGAGGATTGAATCCAAGGCCTACTGCTTATCAGGCAAATGCTGTACCACTTGAGGCGGGCCCCTCCCACACACATGCTTTTGATTGGGCTGATGGGAAGAACATGCTAGAAGAGTCCTGCTAGCAAGCCCTATGCTTGCTCCCACTCTCTTCCCCTCCCAACTCCACAACCCCATCCCTGCCCCTTTCCTGGGGCAAGGTGTTTTAAAAGCCTTTTCAACTGGGAGCTCAGTTCCAAATGAGTCTCTTGAAAGAGTCTGTTTGATTGGTGAGACCTAGATCATGTGACTGTGTTTAGCTGCAAGGGCAGCTAGGAAATGTAGTTTTAGGATTCTACTTTGGGACTGTGGAACTAAAGTTATAGGAACCTATGGAAAACGACAAAGGGATGCAATAGTTACGGTCAACCACAAATCACTGGTGTTCCCCACCTCGCCCCCTTTAGTCTAGAAGAGAAGTTTTCAGTTGATTTCTGCCCTCTTTCACTGGAGTCCAGTTTGAACCCAGCCTGGGGGGCTGAGGGTAGATGCTGGAGGGGCTGCTCTCTGTAGCACACAAGCCAGCTTTGTGCCCAGCAAGAACAGAAGATGGCTTCTAAGTTGTGACTGTTTAATCGTCTTTGTGGCAAAGCAGGACAGTCAAGAGGAGGATCTGAAAGGGAACAAAACAATAATAGCCTTTAAATTTAGTCTTTATAAACAGCATTCTTCCCTAAGTGCTGCCGAGTGCATTGGTCTGGGTAATTTAGCAATCTTTGCTTACGATCAGTGGCTCATAGCACAGTCAACAGATACTTCAAGCTGTGCGGCACCATTTCTAGCCTCAAAAAGCCCACCTTTCGGTTCCCATTGTGGGTGCTTGATCAACCCAGCTTGGATGCATGGGTCGTAATCTAAGTGGAATGTGAGGATTGTGGTATTCACTTCCTCACCCTGGCTGCTTCACTCAGACAACATGAAGTGAGTCGTGCGGGGAGACCCACAGCAGCAGACTTCTCATCATTCGGTCTTTGTATCTCCAATTCATCCACTTAAATGAGACCCAGATAAAGCACCGGAAGCTTCTCCTTGTTCCCTGCCTCTCCTCCCACTCTGTGCGGCCCATGCAGTTACAGGACATTTGGCCTGGTTGCTAGAGGAGGCAGGAGGTATGGGTACTCCAGAGACTACCAATCAATGCGAAGATGTGTCACAGTCCTAAGGAAAGTGCCCCAGACTCAAAGAACATGCGAGAGCATGCATAGCCTTCCATTCTCCACGCCATAGCCACACGCTGCCCGATCCACATGTTCCGATTCATTCATCTGGCAAGAGATATTCAGATATTGAAAGCATACTTAGTTATATGATTGCTTATGTTTTTTAAAGGCCTCTTTGACTCCTAACATTTTTAATGATAAGAGGTTTTATATCCATTTTAAAATATACTATAGAAGGGGTTGGGAAGGTGGCTCAGTGGTAGAGTGCTTGCCTTGCATGCATGAGGCCCTGGGTTCGATTCCTCAGCACCACATAAGCAGAAAAAAGCCAGAAGTGGCGCTGTGGCTCAAGTGGTAGAGCACTTGCCTTGAGCTGAAGGGCTGAGGGACAGTGCCCAGGCCCAGAGTTCAGGCCCAATCAATATATATATTTGTTTTAAAATACAAAAAATTCTCTGATATTAATTACTTTTACCTATTATTTCCAAATAAGGGACTCTCTCTCCCCTGCCCAGTTTTCTATTCATAATTGGCAGCCCAAAGGCCATTTCTTCCTCAACAGGTGGCAATTTGTCTATTAGTTGTATCTATAGTGATTAGAGATTATATTTAAATGCAAGGGACCAAGGCAAACAAACAAAATATCTACAGCTTAAAGACGATCGAGGCTTACTTTTCTCTCACATGATAAGATGTCTCAAGGTTAACAATACAGGCCAGTGCAATGCTTCAAAGATTCAACTCTAGAGCTTACTGTGTTTCTTAGATTTTCTTTTATGCTCAGTCACATCGTGGCTACTGCCGGCCCAGCCATCATACCAAAGGTACATTCAGGAAAGGGAAAGGAACATAGAAGAGGGTGGGGTTTATGTTATCAAAGCCAAACTTTCTCAGAAATCCTTTGCCTTTTTATGTTGGTCAGAGCTATGTCGCATGACTACTTCTAGCTGTAAAAGGAACTGAGAAATGTTCGTTTTTAGGTGGGAACATTCCTACATTCCCCACAAAAAGCCCTCAAATGATCAAACATGTTTCTCTTAACATGAAAAAGAAGAGGAGCCAAGTGTGAGGTGTATACCTGTAATTTCAGCCTTGCAGGAGGTACAGATAAGGAGATCCCAGTCCAAGGCTAGCATGGGCAGAAGTGTGAGAACTAATAACTAAAGCAAAATATAACTAAAGCAAAGAGAACTGGGGGTGTGGCTCAAGTAGTAGAGCCAAGCACAAGATCCTGAGTTCAAACCACAATAGAAAAAGAAAAGGAAAAGAGAGAAAGAGAAAAGAATGTGAGGTAGGCAATTAGCAATATTAGGCCCTGATGGATGATTGACTCCTGGGAGAGAACCAGGCTCCAGGATTCTTGGCCTTCTGAGCATCCGGGGCCCTCACCTGTCCCACAGTGGCCCCGCCTCCTGACTCTGGTACTATCAGTGTGGGAGGCTCACGGCTTCTCCTGAGCTTTCTTCCCAGCCTTGCAACGCCATCTCTGAAAACTCTTGTGTTGCAGTTTAGATGTCACTTTAAATTTCCACCACGAAAGCCGCCTTGTGATCTTCCCAGTATCTGTTTAAATGAAGGAGCCTAATAGATGCTCTACCACACCCAATCTGTTTATGAATTCACACAAGGGAGGTTCATCTTTGGCCTCCTCTACATCCCAAGGGAACAGCAGATGTAGCCAATAAGCCACAGCCAGCTAAGCGGTCAGGCCCGTGGCAGAAGGAATCCATAGTCCGCTTTTATGTTTCTTGTGGCCAGACCTTTTAATTAATTGACGATCAATGGATGATCCCAGGAACTCTAGATGGAAGGACTTTGGTGGACCTGCAGGTAGGGACACTATACCACTGTTCCCATGCCTGTTGAGAAAAGAAAACTCTCCATTCAAATTGGCATCAGAGAGGAGAATCCTATAAAAGAACTCCAGAGGAAGGGGGCACCTGCCCTCTGGGATGTTTAGTTCGGTTTAAATCAGTGTCTTGGCTATACCTTCAGAATGAATATCTTTCTGACTTCCCACTCTGCCAGCAGCCTTTCAGGACTTGTCTTTAAGTGGACTGCTCTCATAGTCACAAGATAGCTGCTGGAGTTCCCAGCATCAGAGCAAACGCAGCATTCCAAGGAAGAAAGGGAATGGTCTCTTTTAGGCTTCA